CAGGAGTCCTTGGGTGGGTGGGCGCCGGGTTCGCCCAAGCTCTGTTGATGTGGGTACCATGGACACTCTCCGCGAAGACTGTCCCTGTCATTATTAAAAAATATTTTTAATTGATTTTTAGAGCGAGTGGAAGGGAGGGGGAGGCAGAAAGAGAAACATCGGTGTGAGAAACAAGGGTTGCCTCCCGCATCGCCCCGACCAGGGATGGAGCGGGGATGGAGCCTGCAACCGGGGTACGTGCCCTTGACCAGAATCTTCTTTAAAACCCCTCAGTCCATGGGATCGAACATGAAACCCCTCAGTCCGTGGAATTGAATCTGCAACCTCTCGGTCCGTGGGATTGAACCTGCGAGCCCTCGGTCCGTGGGCCGACGCCCTGACCACTGCGCCCACCAGGCCAGCGGGTCTGGCTTCTGGAGACCCTGCGGGAAGGCTCGCCCCGCGGCGGGCCTGCAGCGTCACCAGTTCTCAGCATGTTCCCGCTGCTCAGGATCCTGCGAGACAATATTTGTCAAAGTTCTTCAAAGCCCTGTCATGGCGGTCAAATAGTCAGACACGGACAGGCAGGCGGGCAGACAGGCAGACGCGGGAAGCGTGGGGCTGCGGCTGGGGGAGCGGCTGATGGCGGCCTCCGAGTCCGGGCAGTAGTCCTGGTGCCTGGGAGGTGGACGCGGAGATGGTCGCTGTCGCCACGGTCCATTGCTGCCATGGCCGCGTCGTCATCACCGCGGTGGGCATTGCCGCGCGTCCTCGTCCTCGTTGCGTGGTTACATCGTCTGTTCAAAGTAGTGATTCGCAGACAGGCAGACGCGGGAAGCGTGGAGCTGCGGCCGATCTGGCGGCGGATGGCGGCCTCCGAGTCCGGGTCGCGGGAGCCCGCGGAGAGGGAGGGGGTGGCAGTCCGTCGCCTGTCCTTATCCCCGTCATTGCTGCCACCATTGTGGTCATCATTGCCGTGCGGTCATCGTCCTCCTTGTGTAGTCATCATGGTGGGCAGCTAAGGAGAGGCCACTGTGTGGCACTGGGACGGTGGTGGTGGTGAGACAGGGACACTGGGATAGGGGTGGTGGCGGTGGTGGTGGCGGTGGCAGTGGCGGTGGTGAGGGCGGTGGCGCTGGGACGGGGGCAGTAGGACCGGGTGGTGGCGCTGGGAGTGAAGCAGTGGTGGGGCCTCGGGGGTGTCAGAGGCGCTGTGAGGAGGTGGCAAGGCTTCGTCTGGGCGGCTGGCTGGGGTGGGTGAGCTCCGGGTTCGCCCAAGCTCTGTTGAACGGATACCATGGACACTCTCCGCAAAGACTGTCCCTGTCATTCTTTAAAAAATTTTCATTGGTTTTTAGAGCGAGTGGAAGGGAGGGGGAGGTAGAAAGAGGAACATCGGTGTGAGAAACACAGGTTGCCTCCCGCACTCAGCCCGACCAGGGGATGGAGCCTGCAACCGGGGGTACGTGCCCTTGGCCAGAATCGAACCCGCAATCACTCGGTCCCTGGAATTGAACCCGTGAGCCCTCCATCTGTGGGATTGTAATTTCTTCTTTTCACTATATTTTGTGCATATTGGAGTGCCTTCTAAATAAATACACTTGAAATTATTTTTCTGGAGGTATTTTTTGGTTTCTAGAGTCCACTCTGTCCATATTCTCAGGAGGCAGAAGTTCTAGGAAGGTAATGCCCACCCCCATAGCCTTCCAAAAATGATTAGTGGGAGATGGAATGAAGCTTCCAGCATTTGTACAACTTGCAACAAAGATTCTTCGAAGTTTAAATCCGTTTTTCTCAGCTTTGATATGCTAATTGATCTTACTGATCACACAGGTACCCTCCATTCCTGTAGTCTCACAGGAAATGTTGCGGAGGAGACTTTGGGCTGCACGGTGAATCCGTGACCCCTCGGTCCGTGGATTGAACCCGCGAGCCCTCGGTCCGTGGGATTGAACCCGAGACCCCTCAGTCCGTGGATTGAACCTGTGACCCCTCAGTCTGTGGAATTGAACACCGGAGCCCTCCGTCCGAGGGCCAACGCCCCGACCACTTCGCCCAGCCGGCCAGCGGGTCTGGCCTCTGGAGACCCTGCGGGAAGGCTCGCCCCACGGCGGGGCTGCGGGGTCCCTGTCATTCTTTAAAAAAAAATTTAATTGATTTTTAGAGCGAGTGCAAGGGAAGGGGAGTTAGAAAGAGAAACATCCGTGTGAGAAATACGGGTTGCCTCCCGCACTCACCCCGACCAGGGGATGGAGCCTGCAACCGGGGTACGTGCCCTTGGCCAGAATGGAACCCTCAACTCCTCGCTTGAACCCGCGACCTCTCGGTCCGTGGGATTGAACACGCGAGCCCTCCGTCCGTGGGCCATCACCCCAACCACTGCACCCACCCAGCCAGGCAGGTCTGGCTTCTGGGGACACTGCAGGAAGGCTCGCCCCTCAGCAGGGCTGCAGCGTCACCAGTTGCTCAGCGCGTTCCCGCTCCTCAGGAGGCTGCGAGACAATATTTGGCAAAGTTCTTCAAAGCCCCGTCATGGCGGTCAAATAGTCAGACACGGACAGGCAGGCAGACAGGCAGAGGCGGGAAGCGTGGAGCTGCGGCCGATCTGGCGGCGGATGGCGGCCTCCCAGTCCGGGTCGCGGGAGCCCGCTGGCGAGGTGGAGGTGGTGGTAGTCCGTCGCCTGTCCTTATCCCCGTCATTGCTGCCACCATTGTGGTCATCATTGCCGTGCGGTCATCGTCCTCCTTGTGTAGTCATCATGGTGGGCAGCTAAGGAGAGGCCGCTGTGTGGCGCTGGGACGGTGGTGGTGGTGGAACAGAGACACTGGGAGGGGGCGGTGGCGATGGTGGTGGCGCTGGGATGGTGGCACTGGGACAGGGGTGGTGACGGTGGCGGTGGCGATGGTGGTGGCGCTGGGACAGGGCAGTAGGATGGGGTGGTGACATCTGGGCGGCTGGCTGGGGTGGCTGGGCGCCGGGTTCGCCCAAGCTCTGTTGAACGGATATCATGGACACTCTCCGCAAAGACTGTCCCTGTCATTCTTTAAAAAAAAATTTAATTGATTTTTAGAGCGAGTGCAAGGGAAGGGGAGGTAGAAAGAGAAACATCCGTGTGAGAAATACGGGTTGCCTCCCGCACTCACCCCGACCAGGGGATGGAGCCTGCAACCGGGGTACGTGCCCTTGGCCAGAATGGAACCCTCAACTCCTCGCTTGAACCCGCGACCTCTCGGTCCGTGGGATTGAACACGCGAGCCCTCCGTCCGTGGGCCATCACCCCAACCACTGCACCCACCCAGCCAGGCAGGTCTGGCTTCTGGGGACACTGCAGGAAGGCTCGCCCCTCAGCAGGGCTGCAGCATCACCAGTTGCTCAGCGCGTTCCCGCTCCGCAGGAGGCTGGGGAAGAACGCATTTGGCAAAGTTCTTCAAGGCCACGTCATGTAGTCAGACACGGACAGGCAGACGTAGGGAGCGTGGAGCTACAGGCTGAGCTGGCGGTTGATGGCGGCCTCCAAGTCTGGGCAGTCGTTCTGCGAGATGTGGCGGAAGTCCCTGTCGTGGTGGTCGTCATTGCCACCATCGTTGTTGCGTGGTCATCTCAGTGGGCGTCTAAGGAGAGGCGGCTGCGTGGTGCTGGGATGGTCGCAGAGCAGGGCCTGGGGGAGGCGGTG